TGTCAATGGAACACTTACATATTTACAAATGGAAGCGCCATATAAATTGGATCTGTAAAACTGATTTTTTTCTTCGCAAAAAAAGAATACCAAGATGCCTGGGCTATCAGTGCGGGTATTCCTTATAAGCTAAAAGGCATCCACACTCTGGGCGCAGCAATGTTGGACCTTTCGATGTTGGACTGCATTCCCTCGCACCGCTTGTTCGGTGTATGTGAGTTACCTCATTCTTCATTGCTCCCGTTTACTAATTATCCCAAAAAATCATTCTTTTCTAGCACTAAAACTGCTCAGCAATTAACTAGAGTAATGAATTACGAAAAACTTGGAAATTTTTCAGTAGCAAGGTACAAGAAGGCATAGTAGCGATCGAGTGAAAAGCTGAGATGTGACACCCAAATTTGCATAGGCTTATAAACCACGGGAATGAGTGCACGGGGGAGGATGTGCGGGTGTGTTCGTAGTTCGGTATCCGTTGGAAGCAATTTGTTGACTGGCATCAGTTCTCGGGATCGGATCGGATGGATGACGGAATTGGGATCAAGAATGTACAGAATTTTGCTGGATTGTGTACAGAGAAGTGCGTTTGAGAATTTCGCTGTTAATTCTATTGTTTTGATTTCTCCAGGCGTACTGATGATGATATGCGCATTTGGGATATCTTCATCACTGTACCACCTCCTGGCACTCGCCGCCCGGCGTCCATCCCTTATCACCTTTCGCTGATTTTTGTGCACCGGCGTACAGCATTTTAGCGCAAGCCATCCACCCGAATGCACTCCCATAAACTTTCATTGATGAAATGTTCGCCTCAGCTTTTTAGTTTTTTACGCTTTCTCGTATTCTAGTCAATAACATATTTCTCATCGTGGTTTAGGAGTGGCAAACGTTCGTGACAGGTAGGTAATGCTCAATCACATCAGTTCCTTGATGCGAGCTACTGATAAAATATTCTCATGGGCTTGTATTAGAAGAGCCACTGAGTTGGCAATCCCTCTAGAAAGTGAAAAGAACGCCAAGATCGCTAGCAGACTGACCATTAAAAGATATAGCGTTACGAATATCATTATTATTGATATTACCATTATTATTATTATCACTATTGACACTGTTATTGTTATCACTATTATTATCGTTATAATTATGATTATTTTTATTACTGCTACTTTTGTCATTATTACTTTATTATTATTACATTTCCAATCTTGTTTCTATCTTCACTGGTTAAAACAACTGGAATGGTATAGCTCGATGCGCAGTTGGCGAACTAGTCTGTGAATAACTGCTTCAAGCACTGTAGTGTAAGCCTGCTTCTTTGTTGCATTTTTTTGTTTAGCATGTAATCGAATTTTTTTGAAGGCCTTTTACATATGTTTTTCTTATTCTATTATACCACTATACAGAGCGAACGAATTTGGCTTGAGACAAATTTGGCTGATAAATTCGAAATTTTAGGTTAATGTGAGATGATTTAAGTCTGGCGTAACGCTTATTGGAATTTTCCATTTTCACTCGACAATACCAGCACCACTCGGACAATCGGTGTGTGTATCTCAGTTAGTGAGAGAAAGGTATTTTGAAGTAGGAAGGGGGATGCTTCCCGACCCCAGCCGCATCTCTGCCAGGCTTTTCGGTCCTGTGCTGCATAATTTTAGCCCTATTTAACAGTACAATAAAATTTACACTTTTTTAGCGCATTTTTAGACTGAATTTTTGCGTTTTATGCTAAATCGAATGAATTTGCCTCAAAACAACAATATCGATGAAAGGTCATTAATCATATAGGCCTGTTGCTGGATCATGTACTTTGGGGGCCCTGTGGCCTAATGGATAAGGCATCTGACTTCTAATCAGGGGATTGCAGGTTCGAGTCCTGCCAGGGTCGATAACAATGAGGCTGCGGATCCCCGTGGCCTGGCGGCGGTACCACATTCGTCGTCACCACATCTTTTGCACTTTTTGAAAGTGTAGAGAAATACCTAGATTCGGAGATGCTAGTGAAAAATAGCTTGTGCTTTGGCGATGGAGCGGAAGGGTGGTTAGATGAACATACACTAAATTATGGCTTACCAATTCCGTTGCAGCGCTTGTTTTTTATGTCCTTCATTTTTTTTTTTAGTTTCAAATTTTCGTCTAAAATAAGCATCTGGGATCGAAAGACCTGGCATGGCTGCGGCCGGCATGATAATTGAGCTTCCAGTAATATCACTAGCATAGGACACACACATACACCGACAGTCAGACCGATATTTATATTCTTGGTAATAAATGTTCAGTGTCCAATTATTCACTGAGTTAGCGCAGCATTGCTATTCAGAAAGGTTTGTTGGCTACTAGCTAATTGTGAAATAAAATAGGAAGTATTAAAAATTGAAAAACAAACATATCAAACCTGTGGCTTAGCGGAAAGTTTCGATTCATTAAGCTGCATACCTAGAAAATTTTCAGCACACAAGTACTTCTCAGATATGTTGCGTCTTAAAATGTACGCAGTGCAGATAAAGAAGCGACAGCGCAGTTACGTTGTGTCGGCATGCCATTTAACTCAGATTTACAACTGTACATTAAGCTTATAGCTCTCTGGAGCATTATTCAGTTCCACTCTTTCTTTATTCATTTACGAAGCTCTTCATTTCAAGCTACCTTCTTTTCCATGGATTTCCAAGCTGACAGTGTCGGAGATTTGCAGTAAACTTCCGTTTTTAGTAAGACAATTAGTTACGTTTTCAAAAGAGTGATTCTTTGCGACGAAAGAACAAATGCTGTTCAGAAAGGCTCTAGGGCATACTAAATAAATCTTAGCTCCTTTTGATCGCAACCTTATCCGTTCCCAATTCTT